AGGAATGCTAGTGACATCATCTGTTTGGGATCTTGGCAGGGTCTCGACAAAATTCACACCCAGTCCAAATCTGGACTATAAATTGCCATTTAACTGCTAGTTCCGTACCTTAAAATCAGGGCTGAGCTTGATGAAGATGCTGGTTTTCTTGTCCCACATGAGGATCAGTCCGTTTGTGGTCTCAATTACCAAGTACATACCCATATAGCGGACTGTGTATGGTACCTCATTGTTTTGTCCTCTCTTTACGACACTGACATGCTCCTCACCAAGTATCAGTTCATAGCTCTGAAACAGGAGGAAAAGGTGATTAGAAATGAACTCAATAGCTGCAGCTGTGCTCTTACACATGTTTTTCTGCTTTTAAGAGTACTATATATAGTTTATGTAATGAAAACAAATAATCCAAATGCGATAAATCAAAACTATATAGTTCAAATCTCAGGTTCCTGGAACTGTGGTAAAAAGGTATTTTAAATGGCGTAGGTCAAAAAAGGGTGTTTTCATACTCATGGAGGAACTACCTTGCACAGAATAAAATAATCTTCTGCCATGATAGGCTAAATTTCTGCCAAAGGCAATTTTCCCGTAGATCTGTAATTTGCCCAGGAGTTGTATAAGATAGGGTGGGAAATTGAAAAGATAGAAAGCTGAGAAGCTCTACCAAATATTTCGCTTGAAACTGATTTAAGCTTAATTTACAAGTTGATTTGCTTTTTAAAATATTTTTCCAACTTCCTTGAAGCAATGGATACCTAGGCTTCTCCTAAGCCCTAAACAGATACAGAACAAAACTGGTCTATATGCAAAACCTCCTTACCTCTAAGAAAACTTTGATAGATTTTGAGCAAGTTGTCCCAGTGTTGCCACAGGGAATATTTTCAGTGATAACCCTGAAGGTCCCATTGGCTGTGCCACTCTTCCCACAGTGGTCCTGGGCAGAGAATAACATTTAAAAACATGTTAATTTTGCAGACAGGATCAAGGTTACGTCTCATTTACTATTGCTAATTATCAGTACCTGAAGTAGTGTGTATTCACAGTTTCCATTGAAGCTGAACCTTTTGTCATCAAAGGTATTATAATGACCATCTCCATAAACAGCACAAGTGCCCAGACATTGGTTTTTGGTGCATTCCCACTTCCTATTCTTGCATACACTAGGAATGAGAATAAAACATTTTAATAATAAAACAACTCACTGTTTTGTTTAGACATATCCCAACAACTCAGTATTTGTTGGGCAACTCACCCCTGTAAATGTTATATTGATTCTGGAGTTAAAATAGTCTTTTATATTTTTCATGTAAAGAACTAAAGCAAAGTTCTGTTCTGCTACTCTGAATGCATTAACTGCAAAATAGGATAATACTTAATGAAGACTGTAGTCCCAAAGATTTCCTCCCATTCTGTGCTTTGGCCATCTGCCTACATCAGAAGGAAACCTGCTCATACTGTTCAATCCAAAACTAAAAGATCCATCAGTTGATGAAATGTGCAGTCCAAATCTTTCCTCACTGCTGTACTATTTAAGATCTTTGGAAAGGCAAATTATGGAACCAGGAATGCTACTTCCAAGGAATTATTTACCAGGTGTTACAGTCAACGTTGATCTTTTCCCCAGGCTGATACATGGCTTCATTGTGAATACACGGACATTCCTCTTCAGGAATACAACCACCATCCCCATCTAACACAAGCCCAGCTGGGCACATGCAGCCAGATATACATTGCGTGCTATACTGGAAAAGTCAAGAGGAAGATATAATTTCAGAATGAAATAATCACACTAGAAAAAGGAAGATTAAATTCTAACAAAGTATCTTTATATGGTATTATTGCTACTGAGCTTAAATGGGAGAGGACTATGAAGTACTTATAGGACAATGGAACAAAAAGGAAGTTATTAGCCATTGATTTAACAGAATATAATTTTATTAAAGGTAAATGTTTTATGTATGCCAATCCTGATTGCTCTGCTGGAGTCTGTGAAATTTGAAATACATTAAACTTAAGTCTTGCTCAGTGTTAGCTGAAGAAGCCTTGCACTTTGTAGTGAATGATTTGTGATTGAATGGAGCTTTAAAAAGAAAATAGGTAATATTTTTTTCAGTTTGGTTGAGTTACATTGAAATCTGTTTATCTCATATGGTACTTACCTGCGAAATGGCATGTGGCTACCATGCACCTAGGTGGAGTAATATAATTAGACATGCAAGAAGTTCACAACTGCATCATGGTATGAGAAAGAATGATTTCTCCTAGCCAGTTTATAACCAGTAATTTTCTCCTGAAGAAGTAAAATGTGTGGCAGAGCCCTAGATATTTTCACCACTAATTAGTTACCTGCAGTAGCTGAAGAAAGGGAGATACTAGTATTATGAATTAAACTGGATGTTACTTTATTATATTTTGGTCTAAGGGTCCCATTGTTAACGCTTCATAACATGGTTTTAGGCTTTTGCTACAAGAGCAAAGTATCTGTGTTGTAGATTTGGAGTAGATCAGATAGATCAATTACTTTAGCACCAAGAGCATGGACAAAACCTGGAAGCACGATTTCGTCCAGCCATGACATACTTACACACTGCATATCCAGAGTCTGGCAACTTTTTTGACATTCTGCTCCAGTTGTTCCTGCAGTGATGTTGCTACAGTCAAAGTAGACCATGGGAGATTCACAGACTAGAGGAAGGAAAGAAGTGAGAGCAGTAAGAAATGGTGCAGGGTTTATCCCACAGCTGTAGTCATTAAAACCATCTAGAAATTCTATGGAAATTGTGTATTTCAGTTAGTAGGTATTGCTGTCCCTATTCAATCTGCTAAATAGATTCACTTCAGAGCACTGAATTCCCTGAAAAACCCCCACAGTATTTCAGAAAAAAATCTTTATGAAAAAGAGGTCTTATCATGAATCTAGGTTCACTCATGTCTTTTATGGTAACTGTTGCACTATAACTAAATGAGAAATACTTCTATTATTTAAAAACCCATTAAGAAAAATCAATACTATCAACTATTTCTGTCCAAAACCTGGCACAGAGAAAAAGATAAGTGGAATATTTTTTTTACCTGGAGCTGGATTGGGTGCTCCAATGCAATTCAGTCTTCCTTGGATGCAAGTGCTGTAAGAGAGGGAAAAATGTATTTTTTTTTTCCCTCTCAAACCATGTATTGAGACTAAGAGCTACTTCTTTCTTGTCAAGTTTCAGAATTTTCAAATGAATTCCAGAATGCTGTTTTGCAGTCTCAGGAAAGAATTTCCCTCAATACCACTACCAGTGCTGCTTTCATATGATAGCCATTATTGCTTAACATGAAAAATCATAGGTTGAAATGAGTACATGTCTCTGCTTGTTACTTACTTTGTCATAAGATCTTTCCTTGCTGGTGGTGTCATAATTTTATGCTTGAAAAATCATGGAATTAAATAGAAAATGCACCTAAATACAATTGCTCTATCAATCTGGAAATATGATAGAATCATGTAGGTTGGAAAAGACCCTTAAGATCATTGAGTCCAACCGTAAACCTAACACTGCCAAGTCCACCACTAAACAATGTCCTTAAGTGCCACATCTACACATCTTTTAAATACCTCCAGGGATGGTGACTCAACCACTTCCCTGGGCAGCCTGTTCCAATGCTTGATAACCCTTTTGGTGGAGCAATTTTTCCTCACATCCAATCTAAACCTCCCCTGGGGCAACTTGAGGCCATTTCCTCTTGTTCTATCACTTGTTACTTGGGACAAGAGACCCAACACCCACCTCACTACAACCTCCTTTCAGGTAGTTGTAGAGATCGATAAGGTCTCCCCTGAGCTGCCTTTTCTCCAGGCTAAACAACCCCAGTTCCCTCAGCCGCTCCTCATAAGACTTGTTCTCTAGATGCTTTGCCAGCTTCGTTGACCTTCTTTGGACATGCTCAGCACCTCAAAGTCTTTCTTGTAGTGAGGGGCCCAAAACTGCACACAGTATTTGAGGTGCGGCCTCACCAGTGCCAAGTACAAAGGAATGATCACTTCCCTAGTCCTGCTGGCCACACTATTTCTGATACAAGCTAGGATGCTATTGGCCTTCTTGGCCACCTGGGCACACTGCCAGTTCATGTTCAGTCAGCTGTCGCTCAACACCCCCAGGTCCTTTTCCACCAGGCAGCTTTCCAGCCACTCTTCCCCAAGCTTGTAGCGCTGTTGTTGCGTCCCTGTCTTCCAGCTCAGGGGAATCTGTATCATTCTTAAAGGTCAAAAATAATGTTGAAAAAATATGAGAGAGCATTGTATTGAAATTCAGGCAAGGCAGGGTGAGACCAGTATAAATGTTGCAGATTTTAATGAAAAAATACATATACTATTGCTTGAGTGGTTTGCAAAAGATTCACTTACCATACAAGCCCGTTGTCATGGACAATCTCTCCAAATAGTATGGGAGATCCTCTGTAGTAGCAGGGGCATTCATTAGCAGGCACACATTTGCCACTCTCATCCATGTAGGTTCCATTTATGCAAGTGCAGCCATCAACTGGGACAAACTTAATGTTGCATGTGACATCAGGCTCACTCAGAGACCGACAAGTGGGTTGACAGGAAGAGATGGTATAGCTGTAGCTTAGGGATTTGGGACATGAGGTGGTGTATTTTGCTTAAGAGAGGAAAATAGAACAGGTTTGTTAATTCTAGATGGTAATTTGTGGTGGGAAAAAATAAACCATAGTAAAAATAACATGTAAACAATACTGTACATCTCTGCCTATGTTGCATCTTTCATGTAAACATACTTCTGAATACTTCCAGAGTTAGACCTGAAAAGCTACTGTACATGTGGAATAAGTGATGTATGCAAAGAAGAAAATATTTTTTCAAATGAAATTTCGGAAAGAAACCTCCATTTGGCACTGCCATTCATTGCCAAGACTTATAAACCTTTTGAAGTATGAGACAAGAGGTCTCCCTGAATGTCTCCTGGGATGCTGAAAACAGACCTACTGGATCAGTGAAACCCAGCATGCAGCTTCAGAGACCTTTCATTTGCAAGTGTTGTGGTTAGTATTACTAGTACTGTTATTCTAATAAGTCACATTTTCTCTACAATAACTTGTGATACATAAAGCTGTAGTGAAATTCAAAGTTGCACAGAAACAGATGGAGGCACTTCCATAACAGCAGTCTCTTTCCTAAGCAAGCTATGTCTCCTATCTATTTGTATTCACTCTTGCTAGCAATGGATTGATTGTAAGGGAACAGCAGATAATTACTTCCAGGAGTGCACTTAAAAAAATCCCTTCCTCAACACTTACTATATTTGTCTAGAAATCAGTATAAAATAACCTCTGATTAGCAGTTTTTATTGATGTGTGTTCTTAGGAAAGGGGATAGTTAAGAGTACTTACAGCAGACATCAGTCCTCCATCCACGCAGCTGGATTCCTTTTGCAGCACAAGCTCTCACATAGGAAGACAGGGCTGCACACAGACAGTCCTCACTATTTTCACAGTTACATGTGTCAAACATGCAGTTCTAAGAATGCAGAGAAAAATAAAGTCTCAGCCCTCCTAATATTGTCAATCTAAAAAAAATGAACGTTACCTTTACAGTCTTATGCACTAATCCTTCTTCACATATGCTCACTCATAGACAGCACTAACATAGCTTTATCACTTTCCAGTCTTTGTCTAAGTTTCCTGGCAGGGGAGAATGAAGGTAATGGAAATTCAGTCGATGTCTGCAGTTATTATTGGGAAATAATGGTCATAAAGTCTGTTATACATTTAACAGCTTCATGTTTCTCTGAACCATATTTATGAATATGTTGCACAACAGCATACAAAGCTCTATTGACAGTATGCAGTCTAGACATGTCATTTCATCAGTGTCCATACCTGGATGATCCATAGTGAGAAGAAAGATTGGCAACACATTGATAGCAGAATGATGATAATTAGCTAATGGGCTTTATGTGCCAAGTAGTTATTAATGAGGTACGAGGCTGATGAGGCAACAATTCACTGATATTCAAACAAGCATTTGACATGCCTTTACATACACTTCCTACTATATGTGTAGATCCATCCAGGAGTAAATAGCTGCCTTTTCATTTGCAAGCAAGTCAGGATCTTGAAGCCAAGACTGACAATTGAAATAAGGTAATGTTACAACACAAACAGAAACACATGTTGAAAAAAGGAAGTGCTGCAGTACAGAAATGAAAATACAGGCATTGCGTAAGACAAGAGACATGTCTGGAACAGTTCTTTTCTGGTAGCTAGCTGTAATGATCCTATTTCTATTGTTTCTAAAGGGAAAAACAGTCTAACAAAGTACCATGTGGTAAACAGAGGGATTCACTGCATAGTGACAATCAGCAAAAGGTCCTTTGCTGTCAGTTAGTAGTCCACACCAATGCTGAGCATATTTTTCTGTAAAGAGAACAAACAATACAAATGCACATTACTCTTTGGATTTCATTAGTCACAAAAACACACTGCCCTGTTTGTGAAGCCAGTTCTGAAATTACATCAAATCTCTCCTTCTCCTGTCTTTTTTTCACTCAGCTTGGGGGCTAAGTTTCCTAAAACCAAAGAAGAGGACTTGCTGAAGGGGATGAATAAAAGATTTCCAAAGATACTCCTGCAATCCACTCTTCTGACACCAAGTTGTCAGCTTAGACATCCTCTCTGTTTTCAGTGACCATACAGTTTCCTTCAGTTATGTTTCTATGACTCTTCCTTTACTTTGTTACTTATCCCTAGTGCTTTCATTTTGAATATTTGTTTTGATTTCAGATGTATGTTTTTACCAAGTATATAAGTCTTTATTCTCTTATTTTTGCTTTCCAACATATGTGTTTTCCTTAGGGATGAGCAAAAATAATCTAGAAAAAATTCTAAGAAACACGCACCATTATCAATGCTGAGTGCACAAGGGTTCTCAAAACTGCGCTGGATATTAGGGCATGAAGCCTGAGTTCTCCACGTATTAGCAAATGCTGTTGCTGTTCCTTCAATTATTCCATTTATGGCCTTGAAGTCATCAGTTTGGATATTATTGAAATTTCCACAGAGACCTGTTGAAAAGCAGTGAAAAGTTTATACTGCCTATACTAAACAAAAGACATTAAGCAAGATGTTCTTATATTTCATTCACTTACCACAGGTCTGGTCTTTGAAAATAGGATCCAGTCGCACAAACACTTGCATGATGGGTGTGATTTGGATTTCAAGGTGGACGCCAAAGTTTGTCTGTATGATGATGAAGAATGATGAAGGTCTGAACACAGTGGCATTAGCTACAGATGAAAAACAGAATGATCACTTTCTGAACGAGGTTGAATGCTGAAAACAGTGCATCATTATACTATTCTTCTTGAATTTCTATCGCAATTGTTGCAAATTCTGAGGTGGAATAAAGCCAATCTTTATGAAAATGAATCAGAAATATAAATCAAAATTTACAGTTCAGAATTTGCTTGTAGCTACCAAGTTGTTAACTTTATTTGCTGTCTCAACATTAAGCAGTTGGGGATTACTCTTTCCAAGAGAATAAGAAGGAAAAACTGTATGGCACTGAGCGTTAAAAAGAATACTTCTATTTTTCTTTCTAAGCTTGCACAGCATACATTGGAGCCCTCATATTGCTGGAGAGGGAAACTAAGCAGATCTGGAGGTCAGAGATATCGCATAGAATCATTAGCTACTGAGACAAGAGAGCAAAAATGAAATTTCTGTCTGAGGAAGTGTGAGCACAGGGGTGGTAAGTTAAAAAAAAAGAAGAGGTAGAAGAGGTAAACAGATGTCTTCTGTGTTCAATTTTGGCCAGTGAGAAGTAAGTAAACCTTTCAGTGATCAAATCAGGAGAGTGTAAATGCTGTTTGCTTCTGTTTGAACTCTTGCCTATGCTTGTACTGTCTTCCATTTCTTTGTGACATCAAACTTCTCACTTCTACTTAAGAAGCACTTGTGTGACTCAGGAAATATATGAAAGAGAACCGGGGTGTGAACATGCAGGTTCTGAACAACTCACACTCCTTTTATCTTCCATAAATAAATAAAATAAGCAGGTGTGGAGTCGAAGTTCTGAGCTTATTGCTCACAGACTGTTAGAGAAAAAAATACCTGCTGAGATGGGCAGTTGGGTGTAGATCGAGTTCACAAACACACCACCATCAGGTTTGACTTCAATGAGCTGATAAGGAAGAGGAACAAGAGGTAACTGTGTGAAGCATCACTGTAGTCCAAAGAGTAATAATGGTGATGAATCCAGTGATATTAATTAAAAAGATATTAAATAAAAGGGTAGTTTTTTGTGATTTCACCTCCTCCCTCTTTCCACTTTGTACACCTAATTTTCCCTGCCATAAAAGAATTACTTTTAAAGAGACTTTCTCAACTCCTTAGGGAATTAGATCATCTTGGTTTCTTTGAACACAACTTTGTGATGAATTACATCCCTTACTGTTGTACTTGTAGTTTCTAACCTAAAAACTCATGGTTTTTCCATCTAATTGGCAGAGAAAATAGCTTTTTTCTGCTTTGTGGGTACAATGTTTTTCTTAATGAACTTCCACAAAGCCAAATTTACTGCTGATCTGATTTTCGTAACAAAATCAATTTCTTTTCACTTGATTAAAAATAACATGTACTTATCACATATGTTGACCATTTGAGAGAGAAATGCAGTTCCCTGACTGATCAAGGCCTAGCTTCTTTGCTCCCCATATTTTTAATAGTAATTTCCCATGCTTATTTTGCATTCTTACAGTTTGTCCTTTATTCATGTTGAGGATCACTGTCTTTAAGCATGTCTCAGTGTCTGTTAGGCCACATTTGCGTAGTTCTACCAGGATGGTGAACGTTTCATCTTTACAGTGCTGAAAAAAAATGCCAACAGTTATTTCATGAAAGGTTAATTACAGAAGCTTTCGTTGTAAAATTTTCTCTCAACTCTGAAAAAATATTTCTGTTTCTGGAGAATATCCAGACTCTCCCAAATCCCAGGCCTTCTTTGGCCTAACACTCAGTTTTGCCTTTTGTAATGATTAGGAACAATGAGAGAATTCGAATCTGTTTTTGCATTTTATTGACGATATCCATATTTGGAGTTTTTATTCATGCCCACTTCTAATGTTTGATTCAATTCTACTGCATCTCTCATCTTTCTGTATCTGGTATCAATGCTAGACAAAAATTTCAGATAAAACATTTTTGAGGAGAACAGTAACGTACAGCTTTTTTTTTTACTGAATTGTGCAGATGGGGAAAAAGGAAAGCAAATAACAAACAGAAAAATCCCCTAAAAGATCAAAACATTTCATTTGCACATTGCTGTAATGTAATATTTTTATTATAATTAACTTTTAATTTTTCTATTTCTTTTTACTTATTTTTAAATCTGTTTAAAAATGTTCAAAACATAAATGAAATGTATCAGTTGACTTGAACTGATTTTCTGTACTTGAACTTCCCAGAAATGAAATAAAAATATTAGTCTTATAAATTAAAAATATTTTTTTTTCACAACTATTAGTGTAATTTTTCAGACTTATACCATTTGGCCCAATACCATATAATACAGTAACATGGTAAAAATTATGCAACTCAGTAAGAAAGCTGGATTAATCACACTGAAGAATGTAGACTAAGCAAGTCCTTAAAAAAGGCAATGCTCTTGAGCAATTACTATATCACAGAACTAGAAATTCCCCAGTAAACACCATATACTGTTGCATGAAACCCTAATAGTTAACTGATGATTGTCATTTGAATGGCAGCATATGTTCTAGTAAACATCTGGCTAAGTGAGAGGCAATTTAACATCTGTGTGTCGAAAGAGGTAAGTTTCAAAAGTGTTGCTTGAGATCACCTTTTCTTTCTATAAATATATGAGGCTTTATGACCTAGTAATATCTGATTCCCACCTTAGAAAGGACGTAAGTGCAGTCTCCATGGTGATTGTAGTGTTTTTTATCATATGTGGAAATGTGTGAACCTCCCTCTACTGAACATGTTCCTGGGCATGACGTGTCTTGGCAGCTCCACTGGCCTCCATTACAGGTACTGGAAGAGAGAGAATAAAGTTAGCTGAAATCAGGAACAGTGGTCCGGAGTAAAAGGAATTACAGTGATATTAGGTTCAGCTATTTTGCTACTGTTTTTCCCTTCAAGCAGTAGTCTGACACACAGTAAATCTGGGTTTAAGACTTCCCAAAACATTGTGAACATGTGTAAAAGGAATTACTCTGGTATGCATTCACTTTGCTTATTTAATTATTTTCTTTCTTTGAACAGGTGAACTCTCCAGCAACAGGTATTGGATGAGTAATTACTTGTTTTTTGCAGCTAACATAAAGTACAATGACAAATTAAAACCTCTTCTGTTTTGTTACACAAATGTATCAGAAACTAACAGAAATGTAACCCCACATCTACTCCTGATGCAGAGCATATCTGTTTTCTAAGGTGATGTGGTAGTGCACAGGTACAGAATTAATAATTGTGAAATTGAGGTTGTATTGTGTCATCCCTTGCTTTCTCCAGAGAAAATAAATATTTGCAAATACATAAATGACTGCAACTTCATTCCCCTTAGAGAAGTCCAAATGTTTGAACAAAATAAACAAAGAGGAAGCATTTTAATTGACTGGTGAGAAATCTAAACATTGTAAATCCTTGGTTTGATCACCTTGAGTTAGAGTGAAAAACTAGTTAAGGCTGTTGCTAAATGAAACAAAGAATGTTCTTTAGTGATATTTTGGAACTGTAGCAGTCAGTTAACTACACATATCAATTACCAATAATGCAATTGCATATAATAAATAATTACATATACAAGAGAAAATAGTAAGTTAGAAAAGTAACAAAGGTTACCAGGAATGGCACTGCTCTGAAAAAGAAGTTCCTGTAGCATAGGTGTTGCCATTGTAAACACAGGAGCACTGCTGACGGGGAATGCAGCCAGAATTGTTGATGTCATCAAATACAGTCCCTAGATTAAAAAAAAGACAAAACCTTGATCAATTAAAGAGGCATTTCCTATACACTGGTTTTGTTTGTTACAAATCCTAAATATCATCTTAGAGACATATCTCCAGCTGTTGTGAATGGACATACCTATGCTGAGGACAGCAGGACTATGCCAATTTGCACAGCTAAGGATTCAACCTTTGTATTCTTAAATTCCACCTGCTTTGAAAGAGGGACTTATTATAGCACAGGTGGCTTGTTGAGAGACTGGACTTGATCTGTTTGCTGTTCTGCTTTCCTGCTTTCTGAATATTGCACATGTATTGGCAATAATTCAGATATCTTTTCTCAGCTGAGACATGATAATGCTTGTCACTTGCAGCTGTGAAAAATGCAAATGCAGGAGGCTGAAATCCCATGGAACCCGCCCAAATCCTACAGGTAAGCTGTTGTTGTTCTTTGAGATCAGAGATATGAGTACATAAGAACTTGCCTGGGGGGCAGAAACAACCATCCATACAGTGTTCTTCACAAAACTGAGATCGTTCAGGATTGGTGCACGTGTCAGCACAGGGGGAGCTGCACTCCTGGTACTGCATGTTGTAAGGACACCTTTTGGCTGAAATTTTAAAGGAGGAGATTTTTTTTTTAAGTCAAAAGTATTTCTATTTCACTGTATATGAAAATATTTATATTCATTTAAGTTTTTCAGCTAGATGTAAAACCACACTAAACTGCAAGTCCACCACCTGCTCTCAAAATTTGCAAATTTAGTCACCTAGATCTATATTTTACAGTTGAGATATGCTTTCCATGACTGTCTGGTGCTGAACTGGCTCAATGATTGGATTTCTAGGGACCGCAAGGTAATGACCCCACAAAGTCAGCAAGGCCTGTGTTTCTACTGAAGGCACCCTTCCCGTGAACACCTGTATTGCTAGTGAAATGTAAGATTTAAGTTTCTAAAGCTTTAGTGTATTTGCATTTTTCAGATACCATTGGAAGGGCAAATAGTACCTCATGGAGTTTTCTTTTGTAGCAAATGCTGGTGACAGTATCAACAGCTACACCCCATAATCTAGTATGTGTTTAATTCAGTGCAAATCTCTATGAAGATTACAGTGGTGCAAACTCCTCACTACCAAGCAAGAGGACATAAATAAGTGCTTAACCAGCCAAACACCTGTGAAACCCAATCAGTTAATAATTGAGAATAAAAAATGCTGTAGCCACCATGAGAACAGGATAGAAACAGAAATACAAGCAAGCGACTATACCTCATTCTTTCTCCTTCTTTCTCCTTCATTTGCTTCCTTTACTGTCCCAGTTAATTAAACAACACTTTGACTCTCAATTAGAGTATCCATGTAAGTGTTTGATAGTGTTTAATCCAGTTTGCATTAAAACCCTTAGCTCTTTTGCTGAAGTCTTCATGCTGGAACTTGTGTATCAGAACCCTCTGGAGAATACAATCATCTTGAATGGCCTGTAATTTCTTATGCATCCTCAGCAACATTTGGGAGCTTGTTGTTTGTTAGTTACTGAGCATAAAGTAAGGCTATCTCCAGTGATACTTACGGCACAGTTTTGAGGTTCTCCAGTTCAGAGGATGCCCACCAGCATGAGCACACTGCCGGGAGTATTCAGCAAAGGTGTCACAGACACATGAGGCATTTTTAGACTCTTCAGAGCGGCACAAGTCATCTTGGCAAGCCATAATGTACTCTCTAACATCAACTAGGTCATTACACTCTGCAAATGCAGAGCTGGTCAATGTTTTCTGGCATATGTCATCCTTGGGAGAAAAAAAAATTAAACAACTTCCAGAAAATAGAAAGGAGCAATTTTTTTGGTATTGTTACTTTGTATAATTATTCTTTGATAGAAACTTATATCCCTCTTTAAGATGCTGTCACCCGAAGGCTTTTCCTGTTGACCCGTCTGAAGCTGTAGAAGGGTACAGATAAATTTGAAAGAAAAATAAAAGAATAGTCAAAAGATCCTTACAAAATTATCAGTGCAATTATCTGGCAGGGTAGAAGTGGAGTCTTCACAGTGTTCTGTTGGCCCATCCATTTTCTGCATATTACCAAACTGCAAGGCTGTCATCTTAATATCTGTACAAAAGAAGTTTAAGAATGAAGGTTGGGTATTTTTGTTCAATGCAACTGTCTGTTATCTTTTTCTCCTGTCAAGAATTCTGCTCAAGACTGGCCGAGGCAGCTAGTTCCCTTAAGTCTTTAAATTTGATCATCATCCCTTCCAAAGGAAGCACTACATCACTGTCTCAATTTACCTTGCACAGCACCCTGGAAAAAGTAAACATTAAAAAACAATTCACAGCCTGTTACATCTAGATGCAAGCTAAGATTTTTACCAGAAAAATAACAAACTGTTTTCAGATTATATTGAGCCCAGGCAGGGAAGAGAGAAAAGAATCTACACAGGAATTTGGACAATGGAGACTGCTTTGAGACAAGGTTTAGGAAAAAGCTCAAGCTGGGAATAGATAGAATGATGAAGAGGAGATCTTATAAAGATTATGTAATTCAGCAGGCAAATATGGATATACCAATTTTAAGACAGAACTGAAACAATAAATGTACTGACTAGACAATGTAATTGCCTTTTGTTTCGTTGAATATATTTCTATATTTATTTATGTTATTAGTGAAAAACTGGCTCATTTTTATGGGGTTAGCTGATTAGGTAAATAAAACCATGGCATACAAGAAATATGCAATTAGTTGTTAGCACTAGTACTATATTTATACTTAAAGTATTAAATCACATTATCTGATCTCTGTACTACATATTTTTCATCAGAGATTGAATCATATCTTCTGGGTAAATCATTTAATAGGATAGGAAAGAGGAATGCTGATGATGTTAGAGTTAAAAGAATACAAAAAGAAGCATGTTGGAGACTCCAGAAACCAATTTTTTTTTTCTTCTATTATTTATTTTATTATTTATTATTTTTAAAACTTACTGCTTGAATAGAACTCATTGTAAATTGGAAAGCCATTGAAGTCCCCACAAAGTCCACAGGTCTGATTGGCATATTTCTCATTCAATTCCAGCTAAAATGATGGACAGTAAGTTGATAGAAGTTAGTATAAGCTTTCTAAAATATATTCAAGAGCACTGAAAGTAGCTGCAACTGCTACCTCTAAGTATTTTTCATCACATCTGTGTAATTTTATTTAGCAATATCTAATTCAAACCTGGGGGATAGAATGAAGAGTTGGCTTGGATTTGATTTACAATGCAGAGTCCAAGCCATTAATGCTATTGATGCAGACTTAAGTTTTCACTGTAATATCTATATTGCTCTCAGCCTCTTTCTCTCTATTCATTCTTCAGAAAGAAAATAAAATCCACAGCAAAAATGAAGTCCTAAGAAAGTGAAATTCTGCTAGGAAATGATATATGAAGGGGTAAGGCCCTATAACAATGCTAATATGTTAATGATATAACAAAAGTGATTTTTCACCATATTTTAAGCAGACGTCTGCTATCCACTAGAAGTAAATCCATGTACTTTTCTTTAGGACTATGTGGAGGCAAACCTATCTTTATTGAGAAAGAATTGCTCAACAGTATGAGATGGGAAGGCAACAGTAACCCCCTAAACAGATAGGGACTGGCCTAATCAAAGATTAGCTCTAGTCTCTGAAGATGTAGACAGGTTCAAGAACAGTTCTTACCAGGATACTGTCATCTTCATTCCACATTAACACAACACCCATTTTGCTGGCAACTTTCACATAAATGCTGCTTTTCTCTATCGTAATTCCAGATTGACTGTATGGCAGTTGAACTCTGGGAAAAGGCAGAAAGAACGCTAGGTATTTTCTGATTCAGATGTTTGATAAAGAGAAAAAAAATGGCTTGTGGTATTCAGCATCTGTAGAGATTCTACAATAATGCAGTTGTGTGGAAAGAAAAGCAGTCGAAAAATAAGATGGTCCAATGTCATCAAATATGGATCTGAATTTAGAGCCAACCTCTCAGGATTTGTCATCCAAATTTTATTTTTGAGGTAATCTTTAAGGGAAGGATTGATTTACTGTGCAAGGAATTAATAGCAACTTATTCATTATTTATGTTGGTAAAATTGTCAGATTTATTGAGTAACACATAATTCCCCCACTCCCCCCACCCCACCCCCCCAGATATACCAAAGTACTTGGCAAGTTTGAAAAAAAGGTCTGTGGTTACCAAACAAGTGTTATGAATAAACTTACTTGTTGCTGTTGATCAGGACAACATTCTTTGTTAGTTCAGCAGCTACACCTTCAAGTTTCACGATGATACGGTTGATTGTTGGAGCGTTTTCCACCACTATGCGCCTAATCTGGATGTTGAAATCCTCATAGGGAGTGTTGCAATGGGATGCAAAAACATAATTACAGAGCCCAGGGAAGGAGAATATGTCTCCATCAAAGGTCTTGAAGTGGAAGTTGCCCCATGTGCTGCACACGCGGCCATTGTGAGCAGGATTGGAAGCTGTGAATTAAAACTAGCTGTAAAAAAATGACCTAAAATTCCCAGCCTTAACATGGTGAAAATCAACTTGTCCAAGGCTTCATCTTGCCATTGAATAGTTTTCACCTGCCTACCTTCATTTGTTATTTTCTGTCCATTATAAAACTGTGTATTTATTCTTCACTCGTCTTATATCCGTTACTCATCTTATATACCCCTATAAATGGTTATAGTTATGTTCAGCTAGAGCTTTATTAGTTGTCCACATTTCAGCTACGATAACTGTTCAATATTATGTTTCTTAACCACCTCCTTTCTCCTCTTAATATCCATGACTTCATTTACCAGTGCCTTTCCCTATTTGTATTAGATTCCTCTGTCTACATTCCGTAAAATTAAAACCTTATTGAGTACATTTCATTTCCTTTACTTACGTGTTATTACTGGATTTGTCAGCATTGGCTGGATGATGTTCACCTTAGATGAAACTGTAGCAGAAGCTAGAAAAAAGTAAGAAAGAAAAGAAAAACTAGTATAATAATGCCAAAATTTGCACCTAAAATTGACCTAGAAAGGACTAGAAAGTTAATATGCCGGATCAAATGAAACAACGTTAAGCCTGTTTTGTTTTACACAGGCCATGGATTAGGTTAAAAGTGCGTACCAAAATTCAAAATCAGGATAGTTAAATCATAAGAAATTGCTTTCAGTTGTGATGATCTGCATTTTCTACCTTTTAATTTTGAACCTTTTATGAAACTCTGTATTGTGTTAGGAGAGGCAGAAATTCACAGCTCTGCATATTGAAGTGCTTCAGACATACTGAACAATACAAAGGGTTAAGCTGTATTAAATTAGCCTGTTACTAGTACAAAAGCATAGTTGCCTTCTCATTACACCTTCTCTTCCTATGGAGGGAATAAAAACTTTAATTATCCCCTTTGCTCTCTGTTTAATATTTTTCTGTTAAGGGGCTGAAAACCCTTAGAAATGACCACAAATCTGTTGTGCAGGATGATCACAAATCATTACATGGTAAAAATCAATGAAGTTGGGTTGCCACCTTGATTTCCCAACATCAGCCACTGACTTTACAGCTTGCCAAAATGGTCTTATTTCCTTGTTTATAAGGAACCAAACATCCTGCATGTATATTCCACTTTGATTTTATATATACATATTCATGCACATATGCATACAACCTCTACAAACACACATCTGTTTTCTTAGTTACCTATTATTATACAAATATAACCATACTGTGTGTGTTTAGTAATTGGTATCCAATAAAGATGTTACTATTCTTATATAGAGAGAGGCTTATTAATACACATTGATCTTTATTTGACATTACCGGCAATATGCTAAGGAGGTTTTTTAGGCCTTTTTATTATTTAGTAGAGATATAGCAAATAAATACACATGAAATATGAATACACAGTATAAACGAACATACTGTTTTGCTTCTGCTGAACAACCTCAGTGTATTTGCTCCCTGTTCCCTGTTGGATTTCAATCTGGGCTCCTGTGAAGAAATTGTGAAAAGCATATTAAGTACAATGTCCTGTATCTGAACTTTCAAAGCAAAGCATTTAGATGATAGTATCAAAGGACCCAGATACATCTCTGTTAGACAAAGGGGAGAGTCCCTTATCACAGCAGAAAAAATGAAACAGGTCCCCAAAAAAGGTAAAATGTAACTATAGAAAGAGACTTTCTATTACAAATACACAGCGTTTGAAATCCAAATAACATTTCACGTATATCTGCTTTCTTTGTTTCCCTTAAAACTCACTACAAGGGATTCTAATGATTGGATCACAGCCCTTGTTTCACTCCTGCACTAAATGTCACCAATATGTGAAACAATTACAGGAAGAATTCACAAGATGTAACAGAGTCATTTAGTTGCTAAGTAATAATAAGAAAAGGCATAGAACTGGTTAGAAGAAACGAGACTTAGGGCTTGATCCAGCAATGGCTGCAGATATTTATATGTCAGTTTCTTTAGTGCCTAAGCATAGGGCCTTTTCTTCTGGAGCAAATCTAAAGCCTCAGTCAAGGGTCTAGATTTACTTTACAACTGGATGCAAGAAGGTACCTCTGAGTGACAATACAAGGGCCCATAGCCTGAGCAGTAACCCAGGAGAAGTAACCCAAAGAACCAGGTTTCCTGTTCTACTCCTCTTCTCACTCTGAGATGGTTCAAACTCACATCTTCTCTGCAGAAAACCTTAAGTATCACACTGTAACTCTATTTGACCAAGGGTTCTTGCTACCCCACCTGAAGCTCAGACATGGTGCCAAAAACAGTGGGACAGTGACAAAGGAAGAAAAAGTAGGCCGTGATCACGTGACCACATGGTTAGGGCACTCAGCTACATCAAAACTGTCCTATTCTTGTGCCTTGCTTCAAGGATTATTTTTGTACCTCCAGTTAAATGGTTGCTGGATCAACTACATGAACTGTCTTCCAGATGAGTTCTCCTTCTCTCTATCGTGACTCCAGAAGTTTTTAATTCCTTTCCATGCATGGCCCAGCAATACCATACCAGAGGAGGTATTGGCAGACTTTTGAGAGATGACAAATATTGACCTGAACACTGTCGTGCCTAGAAAAAGACTGACCCTGAGCTCCTAGGTTGGTGCTCTAAGCTCTTGCCTTTTATAACTAAATATGGCAGGCATTTCCTGTAAAAATAAATGGCTACAACTTTATTTTGTGAAGGACTGAATCCTGTCAGCATGTGATAACCATGCTTGGAACATGTTGACTAACATGTACCTATAACCTGCCAAGTCTAAATCCTCAAAGGATTTAGGTGATGAAATGACTAATATCTGAATCCTGATCAGGATTATGTGAATGAGCAGTCTAGGTGTCTGGAGAATTTCTCAGTCAAAGAGGAACTGTCTATGCAATTTAGTCCTAAGTTAAGCCCCCTTTTTCCTTTTACAATAGGTGGGAAGAGTTCACTAACTCAGAACTGGATCCATAACACCCATCTCACTGAACAGGGAGCCACATTGGTGGAAGAGGGGGAAACACTGAAGTCAGGGGTGTGCCATAAACCCCCATCCCCTTTGGTGCTTACATTCCTTGCTGAGCATTTCCTCCACTTAAGAACCTCAGCCCAGGTATGTCCATGAAAGCTGGACAACCACCTTTGCCTTAAAAATAACTGGATCAGGAGTACCTTTTCTTTTTTTATTATTTTTCTAATAATACTTCTGGTTGTGCCCATCATGTAAGTAGATTGAGTACTTAATCCCAGAGCTGAAGGATGCCTGTCTGAAGGGATTCAAGCCCCCACTCCCAAAGAAGTCCCCAAGAGACTGCTGCCTTTGGAGGAGAGGGTTCTGGGCGGCCTCACCATATCTAGAAGTTGCTGCAGTGTCTGCAGTTTCTTTCAGACCTAAGCTTTTAATTCTTTTCTCATTTAACTTTATGCGTGACCACTAGTGATGTACAAAGAAGTAACTTAGGACAGAGTTTAACCATTTTCCATTTCCTGTTAGTCTTTCAGTATCACATTTACCTATCATTAGGTAAATGCATTCATATCATTATAATTGATACTGATCAGGTGAGAAAAACTGATACTGATCAGGTGAGACAAATGCCTCAGTAAGTCTTAATAATAGGCCAGAATTTGCTCTCACCCAACACATCCATAATAATCTCAACAGGCGTAGAATCACAGAATGTTGTTTATTCTAGCATGAGAACCTTTGTAACAGAGCAAAATAGTATGTACGTGTATTTTGATTTGTTAATTTTTCTCAAGGAAACAGCAGGGGCTTTTGTTTACTTAGCAAATACATCACTCCCAAGGAAATTCTAGCTGCATTGGTTTATTTAGCAATTGCACAATGCCACATTATTGACCATTATAAAAATAAGTGTCTCTCAGTTGTAAGAATAGTCAAGATAATTCACTATTTGATAATTTGGGAACTGACCTAATTATTAAGAATATTTCTGGATGCACCTTGCTAAGTCTATATCCAGCTGCCAAGCCACATATGCAATTATCGTTACAATCAATTTATCAAAGTTAGTATTTGACCCAAAATATAAAGTCAGGCACAGGATGTTTGTGGAGATGGCATGGGATTGGGCCAATATTCTTTAGTCACTCAGGACATTTGAAAATATTTTCCACAGAGTGTGATTTGAATAAAGAGGAGTTTGCTGGACGCTGTCTAACCACTACTCATTTTTCAAAGCAATTCATCAGATTAGCATTGCACAGTACAAATAACTTTCTTGTTCAGTGAGCGGCTGAAGATACTTTTGACTGACATTGTGTAACTCTAAATGTAAGCTAAAATTCTAAGTGACTGTTGTATTTTGTGCTTAAATCAACTTGCCAGTATTTTAGTGTTTGTTTCACAAACTATAAAGTAGCCTAAAATTGTATTTGCACTTGTCAATGTTTTGAAAATGATATGCAAGATAAATTTACATAGGCAATCTGAAGATTTAAAAAAGTTAGCTGAAAGGGCAGTAATTACTGTACATGAATGGGACTGACTTAACAAGCTTGTACTCATGCAAGTTATTTCAATTTGAGTGGTCCCATTGACTTAATAGGGCTACTCATATTAATAAAAACTGCCAAGACCAGCCCTGATGGACACAATATCGACAGGAGAAAAAAACCCATACAAAATAATGGATTGCATGTGTCAGATAAATCTCCCGGTCCTGCTCACACTCAATATCAGTAATTTATATAAGTATTTTGCATAGGGTATTATCAATGCACAATTAGTTACTGAAAATCATTGCCACATGAATATTCCCTTCTAGTCTGTTTTGCAAAAGAAGTTGCAAGAAATCTTGAGGAACCTGGTATTAGCTCCTGGCAGGTGACAAGATACTGGAAAAGATTGACCAGTGGTCTGATCTAGCAACTGGAAAATGTAGTGGTTTAAATTTCATAAAAAACGTAACATTTGTAATCAATCCTAATACAAAATGCAACAGGAATAAAATATTTTTGTAAGGCATAAGCGATACTGAAAAACCGACATTTTAAGACATGAATAATGGTTCTTTTTGATTTGATCTTCAAGGCTACCTTCCAAATGTAGTTATATGCAGTAGTTTGAGGCAATATTAAATTAAATCAATCCAGTTAATAGACAGACATTAAATATTTAATGAAAGATATAAAGAAATCTTGTTGAAATGCAATCATCTGTTAAGTGAAACAATAAAATGAGTTTAGTTGTTTAAAATATATTACTAGATCTAAACAGACTATTTTTTCTTTTCCCAATAAAAAAGAGAACTTCTTACCTATCTGATGGATACAGCAAACTCCTAACAGGAAAGCCCATTCTGGTACCCACATCCCCCTGCCAAACCCCATCTTGAGTGGAGTCTGGCACAAGGATGTCAGGTCTAAAGTTGGTCAGGAGTAGTAGTTCACCTGTACTCTGTCAGTCTTATATAGTAGGTGACTTTGGCTTCAGTCCCAGACTGATTCAGAGAGTCTAGAAAGGTGGGGTTTGGGGGATTTTAGCAAATGAACAGGTAAACAGAGGATGCTCTTCCTTCCTTCGAAACTGGCCAATGGTATTTGCATTTTAGGAGGAGTATATACATATATATATTTTGTTAAGGTTCAGTCTAATAAAGAAACATAACATGATTGCAAATAAAACACAACTCCTCCTCCACGAATAACAGGTCCTGGAATAAATTTAATTTGGTGTTTCTTTACAGTTGTTTCTTTACAGTTATGCAGATGGCATGCAAGTAACCATTCTAAGTTTTTCAATACTGTAACTGATGCCAGGCAGCTCCTTGGCAAAAACCCTGCTGATTTCTGAAGTCTAAGGAGGTGTGGAGTATTTCATATGTGGGGCCCCAGCATTAGGAAGTCACTCCGTGCCTTTTGGGGCAGCTAATCTTCTTGTAAAAAGAACAGACCTAATACCTTGAAGGGACCTGCGCTATCACATGGTCACACTGAGTATATGCCATGGAAACCCTTCTGTGTGGCACTGACAAGCACTAGGCACCTATCTGAGGAACATTAAGCCAGCTTCACCTAGACTGTATACTACATTTATTAGAGATGTGCTTAAACCTTGAAATCTACTTCTGAATTCTCTGCATAATCTGATTTTGCCTTCTCGTAGAAAATAGCAGGAGTAATTTCAGACAGTCAGACAGCGTTACACCAGCTTTGTAAGAGAAAAAAAAATGTTAGATTGATTGTGGCCTGTGACCATGATCATATTGTTTCAGTATCGTTCCTGTGTAATTCCATTCACATCCATGGAGTTATGAGGACTACAAATTAGAGAAACAGGCAATGAATTGGGCCTATAAGGCTTGCCAGTAAATGTTTAATGTACTTTTTTTTCTGAACATTGGCTTTTTGCAGTTTTGCTGGACTACCATTTCAAAGGCAGGCATGAATGTATACTTCAATAACCACAGACAGTATTGCTACTTCATGTCACGTTATCCTTCTTTTTTAGCTTGGCATTGGAGATAGGTAGGATGAGTTGCTCTGGGCAGATTTGTGTCTCTTTCCAACAATAGACCTTACTTTAATATGGCAAAAGATGGACAAAAATGTTCAAAGTTAGTAAAACCATTCTTTTAAAACTGTGAGGTTTGGCAAAAATGATGCGCAGTTCAGCACTTGGTATACACATCACATTTGCCCTCAGTTCATCTTCATCTTCAGCCTCCTGCCAGTTTACAAGAATGAAGGTAGCTGATGGATCCAAAAATTTTCATCATAAGAAATGGAATGAGAGCTGCTGCTCAGCGGGGGATTTAGCAAGAGGCACCTGGGAGATATAATTGGGGTTGGGGAGCCATGGGAGAAGGAGCAAAAAAAAAAAAAATTTCAGTCTAGGATGACTAGACTGAAATAGATGACTGTGATACTACACATCCTAGTATCCTAGGATGTGTAGAGATGCAGAAAGGACTTCCTTTGCGTAAAATGGGACAGTATTATCTTCTGCATGTCTGGTAAGATTCAGTTCAGCAGTCTCTACTGATATTTGTAATTTCTGCTGAAGCAAGGGAAAGACAAAGTCAGGAAGGTGTCCTAATTGTAAAATGTGATCACAGCTGGATGCCTAATTCCCTTGGGTTCTTATCAAAATCCTACCCTGCAATTATAAATGTAAAAATATTTCCATAAAAGAATAAGAGAGTATAATACAATATTCCGTTCAGGTGTTACTGAACTGTCATTTTTTTATCAATTTATTTCAGTTCAGCCCTTATTTCCACTTTTGTTTAGCACTAAATATATTAGATCCTCACTCACTTGGTACTATAAAATAAACAAAAAAGAGTTCCTTTATGAAGTGTTATCTGGATTTAATTTTTGGACTGAAATAAGTGGTAGCTTACTATGGCAAGGTTGGGGTACTTAAGTCTACATATTGGCCTGCTATAGCATGAAACATGTTCCCTGTCAAAATATCCAGGATGTTTAATGAAGTTACATCTTTGTAATCATATACACACCCTAGATCTATATCTTCATGCTTCAGCAGACCAGGAGAAAAGAAAAGACTGGATTTCCTGCCCATAGAATATTGTTTTATTCTGTGCCAATACTCATAATGAATATAAATTCATCTGTACATAGAGAAGGCAAATGATATCTTGTTTACGTGACCCGTTAGCTGTATTAAATAAATATACATTAGTCTCACTTAAGCAATTAAACAAGCCACTCAACAAACTAGGCTTTCAGCAAATAATGTGCATATACCTTTTAGCAATGCCCTACATGTGATGGTCAGAAGTAGTAGAGCTTGCTTCCCTTCTCAGTTACACCCGCCTCTGCTTGAGGGGATTAATAGAATACCAGGATTTTCTTGTGTTACTTTAAAACTTTTGGAGAGAGTTTCTTGTTTCCCATTGGGTGTACTAGAGCAAGGGACTACTGATAAAGGAAGGAGTTTTCTGAGCAGGCACTTAGTGCTTTTGATACTCATCTGGTGAAAGTGAGGAGCGTGTCTGTACCTAGGATGACTAGGTGTGTCAGTGGGGTCAAGGCTGGTTTTTTCCTCTGCCCTGTCTCTCTTACTGGAGTCGTTGCTAAGCAGATTGCCAGTATCAAACACTTCTTTCTTCTTCTAAGACAGTTTTTAGTTTTCACTCATTATAACTCTTTGTGACTAGAACAATGCATGTCAAACTTGAATATGCTACTTCAGTAAGCACTTGTCAGTGCACAGTATTATATAGCTGTTGTGAAGGTTGTCCCAGTTGTATTTGAAGGTGTTCTTCAAAAGGTGTTGCTCAGATATTTTTCTCAAAACTTTACATATTCTGGAGTTGTTATGATCGCTACTGCTTAGACTGAAATTTTTGATCTCCAGGGAGTAGTGACATTCAAATGATGTTCCAGCGTTCAGCTTATCCAACCATACAGGCTCTTTCTCTTCCTCACTCTCCACCACAAGGAGTGGGTAAAATTGGTAATAACAAAACAAGTACAGAAGAAATTCAGGTCACTCTGTTAGGTGGCTTATGAAATTTTGAAAGTTACCAGGCTATGAGATTTTACTGATTGCTGGGGAATTATATCTGTAGATGAGAATATCAGAAAAACCAGAAGGGTTTAAGTAAACACGTTCATCGGTCACGTCGGTGGTTGCTCCAAGTGGTTCTTGTAGATTAAAAAAACGCAGTTGGAGGACTTTTGAGTTTCCCAGATGGTACAGTGAAAAGAGCCTACCTACGTAGGTAGGGAGGAGCAAGCTCTCCTCTTCAGTTGTATGAGGGGAAAGAAACCCCAGAAGCAAGTTTTGAAGTATTTTAATAACAGAAACTTAAGCAGCTGCTTTTATTGTTAATGTGCACCAGGAATCCACTAAGGGACCACAGTTTTGGTATTGCCTGGCACTACAACAAAGCATTTTTGTTTGCAGGAGGGATTGTTCAGGGAGGTGTTGAAAGCATTTTTCTTTCCTGCATTTTTGTCTGTTTTTCTCACTTTTAATGCTGTGTGAAACCCAGAAGCTTATCTTGACATCTCAGCGTCAAATAACATGGAAATTAATTTAGGATAGATTTATAGAGTTGATATAGGACAGCTCATTTTATAGGAAGTTATTGGAAATTAATTACAACAGCCAAGGATCTGGCTGCCAAATATTCTTCTGACTCTTATTTTGATCTTGTATCAAAAATCTATACTAATGGATTGGTCACTAAAAGTACCTCTTGTAACAGTAAATCCAATATATGTGTTGTTTGACCCATAATTCTGACAATGGATATAATCTCTCCAATTTTACCTTTTCTTCTTGGTTTCTCACATAGAAGTAGGGACAAAATTTGAGACATTGATTATACCACTTTAATGTAAAATTTCAAATGCCAGATAAAATGTGGATATCATATATACTATAAATACTATAATTACAACCTGAATGTAGATCATATAATATAAGGGCAGCAAAGGCAAGCATTCAGAAGTTAGGAAGTGGTAGTATTAAGGCTATTAATGCAACCAGAATTCATCTGCCTTCTGTGTTCAAATTACAACTCCACTAGTGTTGAGAACTTCTATCTCCTCACAAGTGTGATAAACCAGAAATAGTTGGGACCCAGGTACAGCTGCATTGTGCGTCAGACCTGTGAAGTCCTTGCTTGCCATGTGAACTGGGAAAATAAATGAATAGCTGGATTGGTCAGAGAAGAGAATATTTATTGTGATGTGGAAAGTAATGTAAAGGAATGACAGTCTGCAATTAATGTAAACCAAGTTGGCATTAACTTAAGCAGAGGATCTGGTACCCCCTTTCCACCTAGCTGTGTAGAGGTTTTGTTGCTCTCCTTGGCTTGTCCTGCTCATGCTTTTCTCACCTTTCTCTGACAGCCTCAACCGTTCTTTCCTTCCATCAGTCTACAGGTGACTCACAAGGGTTTTGCTTTCCAGCCTTACCTAGGGATTCACGTTCACTCTCCACCCTTTTTTTTCCAATGGCCTGTTAACTTCCCCCTAATAAAGACATGCACTGCTACTGTGGAAGAAAATGGTGGACACACTCCGGCCATAGGCTCCTTTCCCTGGTTCTTGGAATAGATGATGCAGTCTGTTTTCTGTTTGGTATAACGTGTCACACCACTTGAGAAATCTGAGAGATTTCTGCATGGAAAACAAAGCTGCACACAGCCTCACAGTGAAAAGCATGTGGAGAGAGTGTTAAACTCTTACAGTGAATGGCAGATGAGCTCTGTGTTGTGTATGGTTGTTACTGCTTTTTAGTTTGTTACAATAACTTTAGAACTGGTTATGCAAGGTACCACGGAATGTGGAAGAAAACTCTGGCTGTGGAGATCAGATTGTCTAAATGGAAAACAAGTGAGAGCTAAGAG